TTTCTAGAAATGGCTCTAACAGATGTATTTCCTCAGGTCGGGTTCTGGTCTCAGATCTGCCAGTTGGGTTCCAGGGAGGGAGGGGGACCTTCAGGAAGTTGTGATCGCAACAATTAACACAAATTCAACCAATTTGTTGGGGTTTTTCAAAAAAAGGTTGAACAAAAATGTCCAATACAATGTCAAACACAAAGTAATCGACTGTGTCATCGTAATAATTGTGAATTCTGTCCAGTAACAGCAACCTTTCAGCTAATTAGAGCGACTGTTGTAGTTTCCTGCACAGAATGTCTCATAACTCACTTCCTTGTTTCTATAGTTAGTTGTTTTCTATAGTCTATAGAAAATATCTCACATTTAAACCTCCAAACAGCAAAAGTTTCCTACAATTTTAACTTCCTCTCGCAATTTCAATGCAAAAAAAAGGGCTTAAAACAGCAAAAAGCTGCTGTGAAATCATTTTAGGCTGCAAAGATCCCCAGAAAAGCCTTGAAATCCTGCAGGGACTGATTAAAGTTGTGGTTACGAGTCGGGTTTGAAGAACTCAATCAATAAAAATCAATCAGATTGAATCTCAGGGGACGATCAATGTGTTCTCTGTCCTTTTGAACCTCTTCTTGTGTCTTTGAATCAATGGTAGAAAGAACCAGACGAACTGAAATCTGGAAGAATTTCTTAATAAACTTGTTTCTCTAAATGTGTTTTTGGTTTCAGGGCAGATTTATATTCCAGTTCCTCCAGGATTGTAACTTTATCTGATTTTATAATATATAAATAAATAAATAAATAATAATGTCCTTGAGCAATGACCCCTGTCAGCTGCTCTGGTGACCTTTAACTGGGCAGCTACTTAAACTGACTGACACAAAAACCTTTAACACCTTCAGAAAGATCACTTTGACTCTGATAAATACTATTATTGATCCTAAAAATCAACTGCCATTTTGCGAGCCTTGTGTAAGAGGTTTATTCGAACCGTCGAGCAGCAACGCAGCTTTACTCCTTGAGTCTCTTTTCAGCCTCTAATCTCATCACCACCACTTTCCTGACCTCCATCTCGTCCTCTTTTAGTCCCACAGGGATTAAAAGGGTTAAAAGCTCTGAGAGAGCCCACTGTTTACTACCACTGACTACACACACACACACATACTGTCGAATAAAGGCAGAACAATGTTCTTCATTAAGAAAAATCAGGAAATGAAACTGGACGCATTTTACAGAAAACACGATGGGAGGGACTCGACTGTTTCCTCCATACGAACCGTTATTCAACCAGCAACTATCTTTAACTTAAATACATATTATAATTTAATTAATACTCTAATAATCCACCTAAAAAACTGGATCTTAATCCACTTGTGAGTCAAACTTGTGTCCTTTTCTTCAGGACTTTATTTAGACTTTAATGTTTTAACCAAAAATATTAAAATTATCAAAAATATAATCGTCCCTCTTCCTTTTAGACAAATATGACAAATTATCTGTTTTATTTTATTTGAATTATTCCTTGATTTATCGATTCTTCTTGTTATTGTTGCTTTTCCTGTTGTTGTTATTGTTGTTGTTGTAGGTTGTGGGAGGTTGGCCATTGTTGTTTGTTTCCCTGTAATTGCTGCAAAAGTTTAATAAAAATATATATTAAATATTTGTTTCTTTAATTCTCTGAACCAATAACTTCGTTATCAACAAAACCTCAACTATTTTAATCTGTGAAGCTCCAGTTTGTCACATTTATGAGGATCTATTGTCAGAAATATAATATAATATTAATAGAAATGTTTTCATTAGTTTATAATCACCTGAATATAAGAATCAACGTGTTTTTGTGACCTTAGAATGAGCCGTTTTTTTTTGCCCTCTGTTCATGGCCACTGTAGTTTCTCCTTCACACTTCACAGCCCGGTTGGTCGTCAAACACAGACGTGAGTAGTGTTCAGTTAGTTGCAATCTGCAGCGTCACCACTAAATGGCACTAAATCCTCCACAATGGTCCTTTAAAAGTCCAACTTTTTTTAATGCAAATATGTTTAAATGAGAAACTACATCGAACTAAATAAACAGTATACATTTAAAAATAAGGTTTATTATTTCCACCATACAACCGTCTCCTCTGTGAACCATCGTTAGTACAAAAAACTGCATTAAACTTCTGGTATTTTAATCTTTAAAACTCTTTTGTCCTTTTTTTTGATCCTCGTCCAAACCACTTAATCTCCTTTATTTAAACAACAAAGTAGTTTTAATCCAAAAAACATTCAAGTAACGTCTCATTTTCTTAAAGTTAGATATATAAAAAGTGATTAATAAAAAATAATACATAAAATGCTTCAAACCCTCAGTTCTCTCTCCTCTCAGTTACAAATAAAACCTCAACTATTTTAGTCTTTAAAACACTGACACCGAGTCCTGATCCCTGTCCTCAAATAACAACAGCGGAGGCCTGACACGCCCTCTCGCCTCGCGTGCCACCCCCATCTAGTGCTCGCTATCCTCGCTCTCCGGCGACAGCGTTGGTTTCAAGGCCTGAATGTTTGCTGGCTATCAGCTCTCGGCTCAGGAGAGCAGAAGACAAGCTGATTAAGCGGCAGGATTTTCCAGCGGCTCAGAGAAGCTATTCCCAGCCTCAGCCGAGGCAGATTAGACCCTCTGGAGCTGCCTGCTGCTCTCTGGTCGGCGGTTGGGACGACGCAGATTCATTATCGCAGCTTTCACTCGATTACGTGACTCAGGTCTCTGGAAGCTGACCCGGGATGTTGCATTTATTTAATGGAGGGTGAATACGTTTCTCGTCAGCCTCCTAGTGGTGATTATAAGAAGGACCAGAAGGATCAGTCTCAGTTTCAAATGCTATAAACTGTTGGACTGTATTGCATTCACAACTCAAGCATAATATAACAAGATATTTAAATAGTCTAATAATGGATTTTTGTATGATATAGAAATTAATTTAACCAATGGATGTCTGAAATGGTAGAAAAAGTGCATTTAAACTGATATGTAATTGATTTAAATGTACTTATACTACATTATATAAATATAATATCTATAAAAATAAAGTAACATTAAGTGTCTTACTTACATTATCTTCAGTTGAGTCATCAGTTTGGTATTTTATCTGACTAAATATTAAGTAACTCAGCTGCTATTGCTTTGTAAAAGACTAATCAATAAGAGATTTAGATGTGTATCATTGATATTAAACACATAAATAGAAATTATTTAGGTACTGCGTTGACTTAATGAAGAATTATTAGATTTTTTTGGCTACTTGGGGGCAGCAAAACAAGCTGTAAACATAATATTGACGTATTATCATCTTATAAAGTTGTTAGCAAACTGTTGCTCATTTATACGTTGAGTTACGGAGGAACATTAGTCCAATATTCACTCTTTTAGCTCGTTGTTTTGGTCTCTACCGACTCCTGAGGGAAATATCTGTCTGTAGATGCTATCGGTTGGTGCAGGGCAATTACTGCCAATGAAGTTAGCAGTTTTTCACCAAAATGAAAGCTGATGAGAGCGCTCAGATTAAACCAAAACAGTTCAGATGTGGGGCCTGAAACCAAAACAATGAGCTGAAAGACACTAAATGCTCCATCATCACCATCATTTGACTCAATGATACCATAAAAATACTGATTAGAGATCATAAACCAAAGTATCTCCAACTTAATCTCTTAATCTTAATCTGAAGAATGAAGAAATATTTGCTGTTCTGTCCTGAAAAAAATAAAGATAAATGTTTGAATTCCTGACCAGTCCTTTCCCCAAACTGAATCATCTGTAAAGATTCACAGCTGTTAACGTTTTCTCTCTCTTAACAAGAATTCGATGAATTGTGAGGCTGTAGGTTTAATCACAGCGACGCCCACCTCCCTCGTCAGGGAGCGTTACTCACTTCCTCCACCTCCACCCACACTCACTCCCTGCTGATCTGGGAATACGAACCAGAAAAGACACCCAGTCATTTCTCCGATTCAACAACTTCCAGTTTCCATCGTCTCATCATCTGTAATCTTCCCTCGTTACTCCAAAACCATCAATTCACACATCATTTACTGCTTTTTATACATCTGTCTGGTTGATTGTGAGCCTCAGTGGTGAATATATTCGGGATATATTGATGGTATAAACAGAAACTCGGCTGATCTTTGGCCTGGCCCAGAAGTGGAAAATTGGCAGTTCCCAGTCAGCCACTCGGTCAGACACACTCTGACAACAACCTGTCCAACGCAGCAGGACTTAAAACAACCACAGTGCTTTTTATAACCCCACAGTAAGCCCGGGATTAAACCTTTAACCAGCCCGTCACGTTCCCCCCACGGTCGCCACTCCACCAGCAGCCTCTAAATGCAGCAGAAGGCTTTGACTAATAACAGCAGTCAGGTGTTACAGCACTGAAATAAACAGCGCTGATTCAGAGAGATATGATCAGATCAAAAATGTGTCACTTGCAGAAAATGTCAAAATGAATCAGATTTTAAAGCCCTGCACGTTAAGACACAGTCTTCTAGTGAAGAGTTCGGGAAAGAAACAGGCCCTTAAAAGATGAATGAGAACACCCAGAGTCCAAATTAAATACGACTCTAATGATTTTTCCGGCGCTCCGGATGCTTCCTCTCTGAGAGAGAGAGGGGGAATGGGAAAGCTCAGCAGTCAGGTTTAAAGGTGGCGGTGACTGAGTGGAAGTCTGGAGGAGGAGGAGGAGGAGGAGGAAGCTCCTCGGTGTCTCCTGCAGCCATTTTTTAATGTCTTTTTATGGTGTTGAGTCTCCACAGAGAGATTGTGACTGCAGGGACATAAAACACGTCAGAGTGTGAAGAGACATCAGGATCAGGTTTAATATGAAGACGGGGAGAGAGATCATCTCTGAGGTGGGAATTAATTGTACTTTTTTGGACGGTTTCAGCTAAAAAATAAAGCAAACGGGTGCAAAAACCTGCAGTTCCTCTAGCGGCCACTAGAGGCTGGCTCCAGCAGTGAGACACGTTCACACTCACCTGCTGGTTGACCACCTGACCCCGGGACTCTCTCCCTATTGGTCGGAGCTGCAGCGTCCTGAGTTCTGTGAGAAACAGACGAAGCTTCAGATGGACTGTGAAGAGTTTGATTCAGAGAACAGATCCGTTACTGACCCGTCCATCCTCGCCCTCTTCGTCTCTCCTGAACCTCCGTCAGGGCCCGGGTCTCCTCCCTCTTCTTCTGTGGTGGCGGAGCTGCAGCACGGCCTGACCTGAGTGAGAGGCTGCCTCCGCTGTACGGGGCCGACGGGGAATCGAACCCGCGTCACACTGTTCACTGCAGCAGGTACAAAACACCTGCAGGAGGAACAGAGACGACCGGAGGAGGAAGGAGCTGTATTCTACTGCAGTATTATAATATATATATTTATATTATAAAAGCATCAAACATACTTTAAATACTAATAACAGATTGTGAAGTTTTATTTTAATCAATAATAAAACATTGATTATCCGGTGATTAGATTATTTATTATTATAGTTATTATATAAATGCAGTTAAATGTTTTGTTGTGAGTTCAAAACCCAAAAATATTCTGTTTTCTATCCTGTAACAGGAAATCCTCACGTTTTAAAACCTTTAATTAAATTTAATAAACTCCAAATTACATGTTTTATTATTTTCTGAAACACAGTGGTTGAAAGTAACTAAGTAAAGTAACTAAGTACTCAAGTAGAGCTTTGAGGTGTTTGCACTTTACTTTCAGTATTTCTCTACAGTTGAGTAGTTGTAGTGAATTAACTGATGACAGATAATTAATTTACTACTAATAATTTAATTATTGTTGTTTTTGAGCATAAATGCCCCAAATTGTTTGTAGTTGACTGAAAGTGAGAACTGTCACCTGTCTGCTCTCCGCTGCTGTCTGACCATGTTAAAGCCTGGACCCGCTGACCTTTGACCTCTCAGACCAACACTGACCTGCACTGAAGGAAAACATTTTATTTAACATTTCATTAAAAGTAATTAAAAACCAAACAAACATCACAAATATACAACCAGAATCTGTAAATGAACAAACTGCCATCAAATCAATAAAATCAGCCTTCTGACTATTATTAATGTTTATCCTTATTTATTGAGTTATTATTGAGTTATTGAGTTATTGTTGAGTTATTATTGAGTTATTATT